TCAATGATAAACTCTCCCCAACAAAGGGTTGCCCGTTGGCTTGCGGAGAAGTTGGAACCCATTCGCCAAAGGCTAGCCGTGCATACCATAAAAGACTTATTTAATTTTGCGGAAAGCGTGAATCACATAAACGCTTCAAATAAGTTCATAACTTCATTTGATGCTACCTCCTTGTTCACAATGATCCTAATCAGTGAAACCATTGAGATCATTTGTCAACAAACTGATCTTCTCCTACTACCAGAGCCGGAATTCACACGCCTACTACTAATGTGTACCATGGGTATAGAATTTCAGTTTTACAACACTCTTTACTGAAAAATAGATGGTGCAGTTATGGGCAGTCCACTTAGCCCTGTTTGAGCAGATATCTTTATGTCGAATCTTGAGAAAACAAAGCTGAAGCATGCAATTGATCAAACAACTTCCTATTGTCGATATGTCGATGACAGATTTGTAGTATCCAACAACGAAAGTCATGCCTCCTACCTACTCAGATTATTCAACAACGCACATACAAATATTGTACTCACTATGGAACATGAAAATGATGAAAAGTTTTATTTCCGTGACGTCGCCATGCAACGCCTAGAAGATGATAGTCTCCAGAGGTCAATCTACCGAAAGTCCACATGGAATGGACAATACTTTCATTTTACCAGCTTTTGTCCAAATAGCTCTGAACGAGCACTAGTCAAGACTCTGTACTATAGAGCGAGGAGCATATGCTCTGCAGAGAAACTAGAGGAAGAATTTACGAATCTCGAAAATATGCTGAAACACAACGGCTATCCTAAAAGATTCAATAACAAATATGTAAGATGTGAAGACCCAAATACCAAACAAATCACAGTTGAAAAAAGCCGGTCTTCATTCAACTAGATTTCAAAGGTAAAGACATTGCAGAAATGGTCAACAGAAGACTGAGAACGTCACTAGCCAGAGCTTATCCTGCAACTAAGGTGGCTCCTGTCCATCAAACAAATTGCTCCTTGGTGCAGTCAAAAGTCGATAGATGCCCTTCTCATGTTAACTCCCACTGTGTATACAAATTTACGTGTATCTGCGGGAGCAGTTACATAGGGAGAACAGAAAGAAGGGCACACCTCCGATTTTCTGAACATGTGTCGAAAAGCATACGTCTTAAGGGAACAAACTCTTATAGTAGCGCTATTACCAGACATCTTCTCGACACGGGTCATGAGGTGGAAATCGAGAAATCCTTTAAAATTATCAATAGACAAATGAACTCCATTCTCCTCAAGTTTGCCGAAGCAGTTTCCATCAAACGCTTGAAACCAGATTTATGTGTTCAGAAAGAAGCGTTTATTAGTCTTTCCTTGCCCGTCCCGGTAACTGGATGTCTTTTTTCTCTCATCTGATAACTTAATCGTTGTCTTTAACCTCACACTCCTTTTATTATCTGTATTTTTGCTTGTCTCTTATTTCTATGATTTGAGTTGAACTCAGTGCATTGTTACCTAACTTATTAGTCACTATGCATCTAGTGCACATCTCATCTTTATTGTGCAATTCCCTTACCACTATATGCATACATTTATTTTGTTTTAACTTGAACTGCCTGTGAACTGCCTGCCCATTTTTCTGAGCACTATTTACTAATTGTGGAACTTTCTGTCAACTGACAACATGTAAAATTCACAAGTATGTTAAAACGCTTCTGTACTTAAACCTCAAAGTATATTTAGGCTGTAAGCAGTTGAGCTGATGAGAAGCCAACGAAATAAACAATGATGGTACCATATTTCAACTTAAATGTACATGTGGAATCTTAAAAACAAATAAGTGAAGTGAATTCAATTGGAGTCGCAATCTTAACTGACCTTGTTCAAGAGAAGATTGAGAAAAGATTTTTAAATTGTTTTACGCATACATCAGGAAAAAACTTACTAACACCACGGCGACAGTGAAGCAAACCCCAACGGAAATCCGTAATATCTGTTGGAAGCATGAAGTTTAAGGTGCAGAAATTTGTTAAAATACATAAAATGAAGTTGAAGATTTTCAGATCCCAGAAATCGAAGTATCAAATTTTCAGATTTCTGAAAATGAAATTGTTGATGAACTGATGATATCCAAGTTATATACCTATACTGATGAATCAACTTGATTAGGAAAACATGCCTAGTGATCTGCCTAATTTTGCATTCACAATTGCTTTGTCATGTCGTTTTTTGCATGGTAAATCAACGTTGATGTGTCTCAAACATTGTGATAAAACCAACTGCGTAGTTGATTGTAGGGTGTCTGCTAGAATATTATAAATTTTCACAATAAAAAGTTTCAAAATATCTTGATAATTCCAGTGACTACCGTCACGTGTTGTGCAAGTAATTTTGAAAATTTGCAAGTCTCATCATGAGTAATAAAGGATTCAAAATGTAATGTAATGCCGTCATTGAACGGATTACGTGCAGTATCCTGACGATAATATCTAACGTTCGAGGATTCGTAAAATTGGAACTACTTGACTTCCAGTGGTAATTTCCTGTTTCCACAGATTCTTCAGCTCCCAGTCGTTTGTTTTCCCTAAGAAACTGTTATTGTGTACAGGATGTTCAATGAAACAAAAACTCCCTTTTACATGATAACATATACTCAGAATCAAGAACATTCACCATAGATGCCAAGTAAAATGGAAAGCAGACAATGCGCATGGTGCATTCAACTATACATAGATATATTTAATATAGGCAACAAAAATCAAGTTCACGAAGACGCAGATCTCACTACATAAAACTGAAACTTAAAACAAAACTGTCACGCACTACTTACTTATCATGCCTTTCAATCTTCTTATTCTCATAAATCAGCATGTCAGCGAACATTTATATAGTATCGTTTCGTTAGTATTTTGTTTTTAGTTTATTATTGGAAATACATGGACCTTGATCTTCACAAACAAAGAAATAAAAATTTTTCTATGTTCATGTTCAATACGAAAGCATCAATGAAATCCAGTCAAATGTGCCATTCGTGAGGTATTTTCAACTCGTGGTTGTTTTACTGTTCAATATATTGATCTTACCTTTCTTAACGAATAATGGAGTTTTGACGGCCTTAATCTTATTTCGACTATACTTTTATTCTTTGTATGATTGTCAGTGCCACCATTTTCCTTTAACCAATTCTTTAGATTAGAGGTTTGTTCGATGAAACATACTGAACCAATTTCTTCAAGTAAATTTTGTGAGATTCATCGCTATCACAAGGTCAGATATGATCACTAAATTTTTTTTTGATTACAGCTTGATTCCACACCGTAATTTTGGTACAAGTATGGAATTTTTTGACATGTGACATCGATAGCCCAAATTTTGCAGGCTTACCATAGATAGCGGGTGTGCGTCGGCAGGAGATCGAACCTCGGACCATGTGCATAGTCGGCGAGAGTCCTAACCATTGTGCTACCAATGCATTTATTGAATGTCTTCGTGAAAACCATAAGTAAACATTCATGTAAAATTGGGCGATCGGACACAAGTATTGCTGTTTGCTTAGCCATCCTGGTGGGGCACCCGTATTGATGCATATGATATACGCGGAATATTCAGGATATACAGAGAAAAAGAATTATATTCAACTCACAGCATTCACTGTGCTTTCGAAATATAAACTAACGATGGGTCTGTGTGTGTGAGTTACAAATATAAACTCAAAATTTATTAATTTAGCATGACGTTGTTAAACAAACTAACAAAATACAAATGCCAAGACAGCAGTAAAATGTCTGATATTAATAAGATAAGCATTCTGGGGAATAGTTCAACTGAAGCATTACTTGAAATTACAGGCAACTGTGCACCATTATGCGATAGGAACATACTTCTAAAATCTGAAATATCAGAATGAAGAGAAAAACCGAAAACGGAAGCTTAATTTATCTAATCAGGCGACAATATGTGCGAAAAACATGACTAATCACCATTCTGGGATATCTGGTAAACGTTTTAAAACCTACGACAACGAGGAAGGAAACAAGTGAACTCCGAAAAGAAAGTTTCCAGTTGGTGTAGAGATAACTGATATGATTATGAGTAATGAATTTTGTTAGAAATGCAGTCCGGTAAACAGTGATGCTACCCTGTGTTACACACATAATAAGAGAAGTAGTACGGAATCGCATACTACCATACTGCCTAAGTTTTAAAGTTACGTGAATGGGACTTCAGTAGTTATTTAAGTTCTGGTTTTCAATTATGAAGAAAATTTATGATGGCCCATATTTCATCTACATCAGATGTGAAAACCATTCGCTGAATGAAGTGAAAGCGTAGTTCGCACGATTTTACTGATCGCTTTAAGTGATATTGACCACACCTGTGACTGAACCTATGCAACGCATTCGTTCAATTTCTACTACCTCGTGTATTTTCTCTAGACACAATGAAGATTTGTGGCTCAGATGGATGATTTTGATGAAGTAGTGTTCTTTGTGCTGGGTACTTTATTTGCGAAGATTTCAATTTGAAGAACGAATGAACCTTTGAATTAGTCCTCAGGAAAAATCGATAGCTGACACACAGTCTTTATTCTAGTCAATATAAGTATTATGTAACTCAAGTGAACGTCTCTTTGAAATCTTCTTCCAAATAAACCACACGCTATAGTGAATCTTACTTTGTCGCTAGATGCTGACAGATTGTAGACTGAGCTGTTCATCAAAGTATTTCATTGAAATCTAATAGAAACCGAATTCGTTGACGAGTATGCAAATAGGCATCCCATACAGTTAAGTCATCATCAGTAGTTTTCGATCTTTTTCACGTTCAAGTGCTCTATGAATTAACCAGTTTTCATCAAGTAGCAGCACATAGTTCAAAGTAAGAAAATTTTAGTAATGATTTAAAATGTTCAATTAATATTCTTTTGATGACTTTATTATTTCTCAAAAATAAAAAACTTCGATGTTGATTGAGGACTTTGTTACCAATTAGAAAACATGCCACTATAAATGTAAAACAATAAGAATCAAAGTTTCAAAAGTTAGATGAATATATATTTACACATTAATTGAGCCTTTCTTCAAATCAATTCCATAAAGTTTAGCTTTAGATGGCTACTTTCATGCAGGTAAGAAATTCACTTCTCATTATTTCTCTGTATTTTTGTGCATTCGAACATCATAGTTTCATGGTTTATGGGGTTTATTACTTGATATAATTCCACAGCAGTGACCTTCATATCTGAGAAATCCAACTCTTAATGAGCCTATGTTTCTTCACGTTTTTCTAATTTTCTCTTTGCATTTTATTGGCATCCTGTTTAAGAGATGTATGAAAAATCAATTGGAATCGTAACATTTTTCACTTTCAACACAACTTGTGCACTCGGTAGTATATAAATAAATAAATTTATGTTGCTATATATGCCTTTTCAACTGTATCACACGTGAGTGATGCTCACTGAGAGCTTCTTCAGGTTGAATTAACCTGGTAAACTCACACATTCAGAATTGTTATGCCTTCATACCGAAATCGATAATCATATAAGACTGACTCTCCTGAATTTTGTAAACTATTTGCATACCATTTAATTTTTCAATAGAGATTGTACTGTGTGAGTTTCATAGAATGTGAAATTCGAAAATGAGAATTACACCATATCCCTTGCATCTGTAAGCAATTGTGAAGCACCGAATATTCATGATGCGAAGTAAGACACAAAGATAAGTCGCTTTTGTTGGAAACTCAGCATTTTGCAGGTTTGAAACCATTGCAAACACCACGTCATGAAAGTCTACTCAGTTTCGCTAGTATTGATCATCTGTTATTGTGATCAAAATGATGAATACTTTATCTTCCAGGTGGCTCAAATTCCTGAAGAATGGATCGATTATGCGCAAGTCGCTTGCTTGTAAGTGTGCCTTTAATTAATCTTTGAGGAAAACACCACTAGTGGTATATTTTTGTGAATACGTTTATGTCAGCTGGTGATTATAACCTCTAGAAACAATCACTCACTCGTGAAATTAAGGCTGTGGACTCTAGTAAAGTACTGGCATAAATGATGGACTGGATTTCAGACAGTTTCCTGTTAACAAAATGGTTACTGAAGCAAAATATGTAGCCTCGTCAAGGTTTATAAGCCAGGATAACCATCGATTTTACCAACTGGCGGATTGAGTAAAACTATGGAGCTTTCATCTTCACTCTCGCTGATTGAAGAGTCGTTCTCAGCACCATCGGCAACTTCGACTTCTGTGGAAATAAAAATTTTTCATTGCTGCATAAATGAAATATGTTGCTTTCGATTATCCTCTGAGTGACTGCTTAATTCAGAATTGCTAATAACCGTCCACAAACTTGTAATAGTATTTATCAGTTCGCTGATATGGTGTTTGTGCAGAGCGCTGTGTGACTTGTGACTGAGTCAATTTATCTGCATCGATGTATTTGTTAACTGTTGACTTATTCGAAAAACGATCTTCTGAGACAAAAAGCGCCCTATCACCAATGTTGCTGTCTAGAACACGGACAGAAATTTTGACAACATATCGTAAAACGATTCCACCAAACAAAGACAATCTGACTTGTTTTTGAACCTCATATTAGGTGACACAAAGTGAACACTTTGGATTGAAAATGGCTCATAGGACTATCGACTCACAGATAATTACCAAAATGGAACAAATTAGACATTTTAGTGAAAAAGATATTGAATATTCTCACAGTATTCCTTATTTGAAACCGATTCATTTTAGACTACATATCGGATCAAAAATCTAATAACCAGAACATTACTTATTAAAATCTAATGTCTGACTGTTAACCGGGAATACTGCCTTTACCATTTCCATTGCGTGAAATCTTCTTCTTCACCTAAGAGTAAAAGATTTTGTTGTGTAAACCATAAAACCATTGACAGATGATGGATGTAGCACTACGGCGGCACATTCAGTTAACAATGATCTTTCTTCATATGATAACGAATGAGGTATAAAATCACAAGGCCACATAAAATTAAATATTTTTTACAACAGAAACCCATTCCAGCTTTTATAATTCATAAGATCTATTTTTCTATTTGTATTTCAGAGTAATGGCATTGGCTCTTTGTATATTACATTTTTTTAAATTCAGAAGTAATTTAAAACTTGCATTAACGCTGATAGCAATTACGGTAAGTTTTTTAGAGTGTCATTTTATAAGTTTACTTTATCACCTAAGGACAATTTTGTGTTTTCTGTGCCAACCACTCGAATATATAAAGTTGATTAAACCGTGTAGGATTAGTTTATGAATTCATCAAACTTGAGGATTATTTTTCATATAAATACTCTACATACTAGAAAATATATATTAAATTCAATTAGGAGGTTGAAAACCAATAAGTTAATACACTTCATTCAATCAAACTTGGAAAACGACAGGTAGCGAGTGATTATCAGGTCATATTGAGATAGGTGACAGTAAACTAGTATGACTGATCAAAATTCAGATCATAATGCATAACAGCTAAATTAAATCACTAAGATAAGCAATTAGCCATAAGACAAAGAACTTGAACACTTTTTAGAATTGGAAACAAAATAATTCTGATAATAATAATAATAATGGTAGTAGTAATATTAAAATAAGTTATGATAGTGATACTGACAGAAGGTTGTTCTGAGCAAATTTGGAATAATAATGGGATAAGAATATTATACATAAGGACATCATATTAACATAACAGTTAATAAGTAAGTTACGTTGCTATGGTAGACTTCGAGTGACCACCACTGCGTTGTCTACACACAAGCCGACTTTATCGATTCTAATTTAATCAGCCGTCCTATTTGCGAGCAACTTCATATTCGTTTTATTGCTAACAACAATGAATGAACTGACTACGTCAATATCACACCAGTAGTCTACAAGATGATTTGTCAGTGGATATACTGTTACTTTGGCATACGCTGCATTGTGCAGGCAGAAAATCTCCAAAATATATGACTTAATTATTTGCTTCCATAAGCACATTCGAATTGATATACGCAGTTCTACTCGTCGTGGATGGCAACTGCTCTCCTCACAAATGATGTAGTATCAGCTGATAATTCTCAAAAATGCGTGTTTGTAGCATGTTAAGTTATCATTATTGCCTTGTCAAATCTCTATCTGCCTATATCATGTAAGTTATCCTCTCTGCTTTGCTTACCAGAATTAATAATTTTATATGGCTACTACTCACATCTAATATCAGTTACTTATTTTTCTCTCTTATCTTGAGATCAAGCATGTCTTCATTAAGAAGGAAAGAGAAATAGAATAATGAGAAATTATCAAGCTAATCATGAGTCTCAGTACACTCTGGTGTTTGCGAAACAACATTTCAAATATCTGTTGTGGAAATGTTTTATAATGTGAAAACGATCTGTTTCACAGTGTTAAAAATGTGAAGCTAAAATTCTGGTGAATACAGCAGAAGCATTTCCCCACTGTCTACTTTATTTTACTGACTTTTGAAGTTATATGGAAACTCCATACTCGTACATTTCCAATATCTGTTGTGGAAATGTTTGATAATGTGAAAACGAATAAATATATATTGATGTCTAAATCTCCAAACTAATTCAATCGACAACAAACTCATGACCAATCTCTGTGATGAGCTTTGCAAAGTATGAAGCTGGATGTCGATTTAAGACACAGTGAACCAGGTGAATTCATTTGTTCTTCCAGCTATTTATGAATATGTTCAATATTCAAGACCTGCAGAGACATGTGCGTCTCTCCTTTGTACATGGGACCATAAATTAGTCTAAGTTTTTAAACATCTCGTGGAACAATATTGTGAGTGTTTGCAGCAAAATATAAATCTCGTTTTCACACTTAAAACATAAGCAAGAATCAGATTCCGACACACCGCACATCTACCTTATAGGTGATTAGAAGAATAAGAGGGTGGATTAGTCGTTCTACGGTTGTAGTTTTACTGTGCAAACCAGAAACAGTAAGTGGTGAATCTAAATCCTGGATTCCATGTGGACTGTCCATACTAACAGATATCAGAATACATTTATGCAAACGAAACTTCGATGTTATCTCACACGAATTAATTTTGTTTGCATCAATTTCATTCAGACACAATTTAAACAAAGTGACATTATGAAAATGTTTAATTTATTTCGTCAACAGCTTGCACTATGGTCTGCAAATATTTATTTTACGTGTTGCAATATGCATAATAATTCAGAATGTTATTTTTTAATTGGCTTTATCACTCTGGAAGACTTGTTGACAATTATCTTCTGCGTCCTTATCAAAAGATTAAAAAAAACAGTTGTGACAGTTTTGCTATCAATGTCGACAGCTTTTCTAATAACTGGAGTAGTTTTGTTTTTCGTAGATCGGAATAATGTAAGTCACATGGTCATTTGTATTTCAGCATTTTCTTCTTTGCTTACCAGAATTAATAATTTTATATGGCTACTACTCACATCTAATATCAGTTACTTATTTTTCTCTCTTATCTTGAGATCAAGCATGTCTTCATTAAGAAGGAAAGAGAAATAGACTGATGAGTAATTATCCAGCTAATCATGAGTCTCAGTACACTCTGGTGTTTGCGAAACAACATTTCAAATATCTGTTGTGGAAATGTTTTATAATGTGAAAACGATCTGTTTCACAGTGTTAAAAAATGTGAAGCTGAAATTCTGGTGAATAAAGCAGAAGCATTTCCTTACTGTCTACTTTATTTTACTGACTTTTGAAGTTATATGGAAACTCCATACTCGTACATAGGTCATTCGTACATATTTAGCACGATTCAATTTTATCACTTTTTTACTACAATTTGAATTTTGATATATTAAATATGCTGCAAGTTTTCATCATCATTCTAAACGAAATTTACCCCATCATATTTCAGCATCTTTTGTCTGAATTGGCTGGAGGCTTTTGGAACACTTCTGTAGCTATTGTAAGTTCTTAATTTTGCTTCTAAATCAAATTGTGAGTAAGCTTCAATATCTGAATGGATACATATAGTCCCTTCAGAACATATCGAATTTGTAGTACAACTGAAGTGTAGGTTTTTTAAGGTTTCATATTGTCGTTGAAAATGTTACAAATTTTCGAATCAGGTGAACTAAAAAATATGAATCATGAATTGTTATTGATTCAGAAAATCAACAAACTGTACTTGAAAATCTCTTTATTCATTTTGTCATAATTTTTTGTTGTATTTCTCCCAGTTAGCTTTGCTTTACGCCAGCTTCTTGAAGTAACTTTAATATCAATTGGCTGTCTCTCTCATGTTATCATGCAATTTCGACTGTTAATCAAGTTTCACATAAACACATGTAGTCTGATGTATCTGATTGGACAGTGCACATTTCCAGTTTTCAAAGTCATTTGATAAATAAATAAAGTAATTAACAGATTAGTGTTTCTCTCCTGTTTTGACAATTTTGGCGATGAGAGAATTCGAGTCTTTGCTGATGCTTTCCACCATTAAAGAGCTATGCATTCTGACGAATAAGCCACCGAAAGAAAATATGTTTCAGCCAGAGATACAACACTGCTGAATTCAGGTAGAAATGTAATCATGTCAGTACAGTTATTCAACGATAGATAGGGATTTTTGAAAAAGCGTATACACTTGGAATTGCGAAGCGATTCCGTGTGACAAGAATAGATCATTCTAAAATGCAGAAAATAAAAACTTTTTAATGGTCATTCACTACTCACCACGTCAGGTTGCGAAGTAGTGTGTTCTTGAATTTATTTTATCCCTTTATGTTACATACTCTCCGTTGTCAACCTCTGAGTATTAACCGTCATATCTACCACCGTCGCCAAATTTATATTCTTGTACTTTACATTAATCTTTGGTCACTAATATTTGGAGCTATGTAAAGTTATTAGGATTGCTGACTTTAGTTCCATCATTAAATGTGATGTTTTTGGATTCTGTTATGCTTACCACACTTGAATAAATATAATATATAATGAGTGTCAATTATTAGTATGTCCTGTTTCTCTTAGGAGAAACTCAAAGTTATGCCGAAACAAACAGATGAATTCTTGGTATTCCACACAGGTTATTCTAACTTCGTCCCGTTTGCTAAGTACTATATCAGCGAAATGAAAGTCAAAATAGTTGGGGGTGAGTAACGGACATGTAGTCAACAGCGACGCAATAGTAGAATACACACTGACGCACACATCTAATTCACAGAGTCAGTAAAAGTACTGGTAATAGCGGGAGACTTCGCATGAGCCTAGCAACCCCGTCCCGTAAACATTAACAACACTGCTGCAAAGCCATCAAGCCTCTTGTGTGAAGTCCTTTGTTCTACTGAGAAAGTAACGGAATAAACGAAAACGATTACTACTTAAGGACGTGAATAAACCAGAAACGCAAAACTAAAAATTTGATAAATTTCAAGCATTTGTCTCAGTTTAAAACAAAGTAGCTACATGACAGATTCAAGCTACCCATTTGTGAAAAATTTAGTTTTTCATGCGCTAGTTACAGTTTTAATAAAGTAAAAGCATTCCCGGTATGCAGACTGCAGTTTTTACGCGTATTTTCGCCAAATGCAAACAATAATGATTCCTGTGATTATATCACGTAAACTGTTTTCAGCAATGCAAAGCGAGCTCATTGCAACCATTCCACCACTTTCTCCGTATATGTGTATATGTATGCTGTGTGAGTTAGTAATTGTAAATATGCTTACTTCTTGTATATACTATTTGTCATATTGATGGTGGGTGTAGACTGGATTACTTTGCATACAAAAACGCTCGTATTTATGTTGATATTTTTATCTTCTGTAGCTTCAGATGAAAAAACTGATGACAGTGAAACCAAAAAAAACAATTAAAAAACTGAAAAGTCAGGCATATCAAGATGTTTAGCTTTATTTTAATTATTTTCTCTTTCTTCTGAACTTTTTCATCGTCCTCTTATTAGCACCATTATTGAATTGATGTCCTAAATAGATCCCTTGCACACGTATCTCTTCTGAAAATACCTCCATGCCTATTTCTTGACGAGTCGAAAAACAACGTAGATTTCCATGAAATTAAAAGTTGTCACCATAGGCCTATCTTTACATTATTATTTTCGTAATTGTGAGAGAATATTAACACACGTAAAACCAAATGTGTAACGAATCTAATTCTCGTTAAACCACCGAGCTACCTGTTTGACATTGAGGGAAGTACTCGAAATTCAGCCAATTTTATTTAAATATTTATGTATAAAACGTGGGCACTGTGGTAGTGAGTAATACCATATTGGTTTGTTTAATAGATGTATTACGTCATCCAGTAAATAACACTGTTTCACTGTGTGATACATCTAATAAACGAACCAATCTGCAATTTCATTTTGTTTTCTTTGTACTTCAATTCCTTACTTGAGTAGTAACCGTTGATCATTCGCGTTATTTTTTGGACTTTCATATGCTGTTTTGCCTCTATCATGAAAGAAGAAAGTCTCATTAAGAACGCTGCTACCTCATCAAGTTGTTTCGGCACATTGTCCAAATTGAAGCCAACACATTTATCTTAGTAGTTGAATTACTGCTACGCAGGACGTCATAATAGATTAGATGACAATCCCCACATATTACGTTCAGTTCATTGTCGTCGGGATAACAGCATCAGAACGTCAGAGGTAAATTCGACAATTTCACGAGTTTTCTTCAGTTCTAGTTGTATGTGACTGACTATTGATCATTGAAACACTGAGGAGGAGACATTCATAAGACTTGATGTTTTACAGGTGATTACTAGCGACACTATTCAAAATTTAAAACCCGCGGAGTCACTAGAAGCGAAATCAACCAGTAAAATTGGGAAGGAGAGTAACTATTTGATGAGGTGGAAATTTTATATTCGTAAAGATTTCCACAATCCACAAAATATGATTGAGAATTAGCCTACACTTTTGATTTGTGAGAAATATTCTTGCTGTGAGTTATAACCGCCGATACGGTAGACATTTATGTATACCGTTGGAATGACGGTAAAGAATAAAAGCAATATTGACGGCGCTATTTATAACCAACTTGTTTATAGATCATGTTGTAAATGCGAAATTCTGTGTACCCCACTAGTCTTCTAGTTGTAAATTTGTTAGGCAGTATTATTAGCTGAGTAGCATATTAAATGCATAATAGCACGTGATTATACTCATTTCATCAATGATCCACGTACTTCTGATGATGCCTGTCGTCACATGATTATTACCTGTGTAACAACAGAAAACAAGGGCCAGGCAACAGATCGTTTATTAAGGAAAGCAACACGTATTTATATATTTTCATGTACATTATTATAGATTATTTTTACCAGAATAACATAGTCTTCCGATTGGTTATTTCTCGCAGAAAATTATCCTTGCATCTATTTGTGGCTGTTTCTCGGATCTCAGATCATCTATATGTTAACTGTAGTCGGCTAGGCAAAGTGTGCTGCGGTTATTTGTTGAATCAGTCGTTGTTCATATTTCCTCACGACCAATATTTGGGACATACACATTGGCGTAAAATACTGTCTACCACTTTTAGCTAGCAGCCACCTCTCACCACACTTGTAATTCACAGTTGATTATTTCAGACTACTGTTATTGTTTGCATACACTTCTCCGGACACTCCTGTTTATTTCATGAAGTCAAACCTGAAGCTATAACATCTGCACAAATATTATTTGTTTCAGTTAATATCTCTACCTGAGTAGCAGAAACAAAACGCCTCATCACTGTAAACACCTGAATTCTTATTTTAACTTGAGCCTCATTGCTCACAAAGATGTACGTGTACACATTTGCTCATTTAAATGTCTTAAAATGTGGATTCACGTATTTGTCTACACCAATCAACTTAACGGTGATGTCAAATGGAAGCCTTTGAAACCATTAATGTGCTTCTTGATGATTCAGTAAACAAGCTCACAGATTTGACTCAACGCATGTGTGTCATAGTTCAAACAAAGTCAATTGATCTACTTAACAACTAAATTTCTCAATAACTCAGAGTGTCTTTTCGAAGATCACAAGGATCATTTACTCAAAGTTCATTGACAAGTGCTGTATCCCGCGCATTCCGCCTTTGCTGATATATACTGAAAGGCCCACATACACACAAACAAAAGTGAACATATAGCGTTGTCGTCAGTTCACCGATATAAAATGGTGTGATTTAGAACTTCTCGAAACTTAAAATAGCAGGACACAGACATCAACATCCAACTGCAGATTCATAAAACATTTTTTTCTTTTTTGAGACTTGATGGAAGGAAATAAAAGTCAACGTTTCTTTGTATAAATAGTTTCTTTCATAACAGTTTGAAATGTGGATCGTCCTACATTCACACGTGCACAAAATGGCGCATACGCCACAATAGATCACAAGTATCGTTAGACACATTGTAACACGCATACCTGATGCGAAACTCATTTGAGGAGGTCTGCGAAAATTACTGTGATCTGAAAACAGAAAAATAGCAAAAAACATGAATTTTTAAACATGAAATAACTTCCATATCATTCTGTTTATCAGGTCTTGTTAATAGGGGTTATATAATTTATTAAATGAAATAGTTGGCTTCCTGAAAATAAACATCAGCATGCACATTTTAAATATGACATTTTCGTTAAAAAATCAGACAAAGTCTCAACTTACCAAGGACAGAAGGGAGTTGAAGAATCCACCCTCTAGTACTGCGCATACGTCCTGAAAAATAAAGTTAAATCCAGTGAACGATTGAAAAAAATGATATGAAGTTGAGAAGAGTTGAATTCCATGACATTTGACATATACCTAATGTAAGCGTTATTGAATGTAAAAATATACTCAGGTCTCAACGGATTGCTAGCCATAAGGAGGAAGGGATTTAATTTTTAGGACTAGCATATGTCATGCGACACACAGGATTATAATACAAATTTGCTTTATTCTAACACAGCACTCGGGATGCAGCATGGTATACCCAACATTCAATAGCATATCCTATCTAACTTACTCAGAAATAAATTACATGGTATAGGTGGCCGAAATCGATGATAGGAAACTTTCTTGTTTGATCAGTAACAATAAATTAACAAGGCACAATGTATAAAATGATTATAATCATAACTGAAATTGTAACACAAAAGAAGTGGTGTCACCATGAACTACAAATACGAGAAGATAAAAACAGTTTCTTTTGCTAATTGCGTAGTGAAGGATGAGTTTCTCGCCTAACACTTCCTTCATTTCCACCCTGTTTGATAAGTATATGAGAAGATATTGACATTTGATCTTTCGAAACATAAACTGCTGAGAGAGAATAAAATGTGTTAGCGAGCCGTAGCATTTTATCTTGAAACATTAACGATCTTGTCCAGCTAGTGTGATGCTAATTAGTGAAACTACATGACGTCAAACTGAGCGATTGTCAGGGTTTACACAGAATTGAATTCACATTTGAATTGCTCTAAAAAGGTTACCACAAACAAAGATAAACATGTCAGACTAATAAACTCTTCAAAGCATAGCCAGATAAATTTTCATCAGTCGAGTACGTAGTGAGCGCATTCATTCAATCTTCCTCCATTGCTTCTAGCTCGTACGACAGAAAAGGCGGGGCATCAATACCAGAGATAGAAAAATATACCCGTTCTAATGAAATAGATTGTGCGTTGGTGGTATGGCCGTTAGGACGCTCGCCGACCATGCAAATGGTCCGGGGTTTGATCCCCGGCCGGCGCACTCCTTTACCTCACTGAGCCAGAAATAATTCTGGTAAAGAGGAAAGGTTAGGCATGAGGCTAGCAACCCCATCCTGTAAAAATTAAACACTGCTACAGAAACTTTAAGCCACTAGCTTGGAGCCCTATGTTCCACTGGGAACGTGAAGGAAAAATTATTATTATATTATTATAATGAAATAGATTAGGAAGCAATGTAGTTTATTAAAACTATTGGGAAATTATATTAGTGATTTGAGCACTATACTGCGCTTATAGCACACTTGAAAGTAATTCTGTGCAACCATGTGGTTTTACAAAACACTTCTAACACTATGAATGAATATTCATCCCAATGCTATATCGCTGCGTCAGTTGCACAGCAGTGACGACTGTCGCCTACCATGCACATGGTCGGCGGTTCGATCCCCTGCCGAGGCACACCTGACATCAGATAATGGCATTCTGACATTTCAGATATACTGTTTCACTTTTAGGGATTTGACAGTGTGCTCACTATAGCCAACTTTAAATGAATGCAGATAATAAACTTCAACCCGATGATACTAAATAATCCCACTTTATTGAATACGTCGTATAGTGACGTATGAGACATTGGTTTCTTTTCCGAAGTCACTTCAGTTCATAGGTGTATGAAGACTAGTGAATATCGTGAACCCTATGTGAAGCACGAAGCAGTTCAGCTGAATACAAGAATAACTGATGGAGTTCAACAAATAACTATAGATTTGAACTTACCTCATCACATCCTACAACAATCAATACAGTGGCGGTAACCAGACTGGCCAACGATAAACTCCAAAGTACAATTACTACCTTTAGATTCAATCTTTTCGTCAAGAAAATGAAGATGATTGTTAGCACATCTTCCAAAACTGTGAAGGCAATAAGAATAGGACAGCCAATGGCCTCGTTCAATTTAACATTTTCGCAAACTGCCAGAACGATGCACGCAGAAGATAGTGAAAGCTGGTGACAAAATAAATTGCAGATGTTTAAATAAATGGAATAGTCTAACAGAAAGTCCGCTTCATGTAGATTCTAAACGAAGTAACACCAACATAGCACTTAATGTGGTCATTTGTCATCATTTCAAATGATTCACACTGACATTTGCTCATTGAAAGGGTATGGTGGTTACATTTATTATTTTTATTTCTATGCTTGATATTTAGAGCTACATGCAGGTGAGCTGGTTCACAGTTGCTGACCGAACTTTTCAGCTTGCTAAATATTTAAATTGAAAGGGATCACTGTCTGCCAAGGGACATATATGAGTCAAGAAAAATACGTCAACAGTGAGGAAAAGTTACTTTTCAAAGATTCATTTTCATAGGCTGTACAATCAAAACTACATTTAACAAAGAAATCATAAGACTAATCATATACTGACTAACATTTCCTTGAAAAATATACTACGTAATGTGACATGTAACCTAGAAGAAGGGACCAAATTGGAGTCGGGAAAGAGGCGGAAGTTGGCATTATGTAATATATGTGAGGTAATGACTAATGAACAAGATTGCGGAGAATGCAAACAAAGCAGATGGATACAACAACGTTTTTTATATAAACGCAGAGTTATTAATAAAAAGTAATACAGGGAAAACAAAATATGGATGACGGCAATAACAATGATGATAAAACAGTAATAACAATAATAATAGTAAACACGTATGATATAAAAAGCAAAATTATAGTCAAAACTTTACACTGGCCAAGATATGGCGAGTGAATCTAAGTATGGCTTCTAAAAGCAGGGGTCTGCTTTCAGATCCCGAATAGCTAATGATTCAGTTATGTACAGCTGGCGTATGTGAAGCCTTTTCGTACGATATTGAAAGAATCTGTTCAGCACTGTTAAGCATTTATGCAGGGCCACTCGATATTCAGATTTAACAAGGTTTTCGAGCATGGACCTGCTTCTATTCTTCTTTTATTCTCTGGCTTATCAAGCTGGACAATGTATAAGAATTCGTTTTAGAATTGGATGTTGTATTTGGCCGATATTTGGGTTGCATCCCAGGCTGTAAGGGTAGATGAATTCGCTGAACTGCTTTTCACAGTACCTCATCACATGCAGATAAAGGATGAATCCAGTTAAATGTGCTTTAAGTTTAAGTGTCGCAGACTAAATCCTCTAGGACGAGTTATTCTGACCCACTTTTTTTGGAATAGCTAGCCATCGAGAATGGTTTGTCTACTTGAAGTCTTCCTGAAGTAAGACAGAGAGGTTAGTGAAATGATAAGGCATCCATGATAATATGTGACATTTTGACGTATCGAATGGACATCAAAACCTGGCGAATATTCACTTTTTTACTCGAACTTCGATAGTGATCAGAGTGTAATGAAGAACTCTTTCGTGGAAAAATAATCTTTCATAAATGAACGTTGAACAAATACGCCACACTCAAGTTGACAACTCGAAATTCAGAATGGAGTGGTTTGGTGTATTTGAGTCAGTTCCATCACTAGCCTAGTAACATTAGATTCATTATGATACATCTCTCAGCTGAATAATAAAAATGTATATATGCTGTTATTCAAATTGTACATTTAACAAACCATACGTGCTACGGATGTGTTAATATCCAATTGGAGTACATTCTTTTCAAGTGATTCAGTGCGGCATGTATCATTCATTGTCAAGCTTAATATCTAAATAATCAGTGTACAAATTTCAAACCAAATGTGTACAATAAAAACAAATCAATCAATACTGAATAAAATCAAGTGAATTATTTTGATCCTCTGGTGAACTTACCAATATTGCAGTGAGTACGCATACAACTAGAAATTTAAGCTTGAATCTGAGGAGTAGTATTGTGATTAGGGCCACGAAAAATGGTCTGAAATAAGAAAATGAGGAATCAAGGAGAGTATCTTAAGACAAAACACATTTGAGTATGCGTTATTGTGCAACTGTTTATGACTACATCAAACTGATCCTACTGTCTAGACCATTCAGGTAACTCAACAGTTCAAGTTGAAGTCTATATTCTGCAACGGGACATTCCAGATATTGTAGTTGATAAAAAAAGCCTTAACTATCAGCCTGTTGGTGCCTTTCTTATGATAATAATAATGGTAAAGCTTTATTTAACACAGTATGCAAATATACGGTACAAATATTTTCAGCGTATTCAGTTCCAAAGTACTTTTTTCTTCACACAGGATTCACATGTAAATTAATAATCTGAAGTATATCTTCATTTTGTTGAGGAATTGTACAGCGTTCACTTGGCAACATATTAAATCATCGCTCAAATTTATGTATAGGTCATTTGATATAACTGGGTGATTAAAACAATGATGAATCCAGATTAAATTAAGCATTTTGGAGGAATGAAATTTCGGTTACCCAATGATTTAAGCAGGCCACCTTATTGTAACACTGGATGGAAAAGACTATGAAGCAACAAATATAAATCTTTAATCAGACTGCATCTCTTGTGTTTTTATAACAAACATGGCAAAATTTAAAACTCACCCGCCAACGATCGCTACAATGTACTTCGCATCCATCCAATATGTTTATCTAAACTGAACAGAAACATTCATTATTAGTATTTAGCTTATTGATGTTAATGACCCCAAAATTAGCATTGCCCACTCATTTCTAGTCGGCTTATGAAGAAAAAGATCTCAAACCATAGGTCTCTATTCATTGTTCGTAATGATAACGAACTGCGGAAGTTACGAATTAGAGCAGCTCAGTCAAGGTTCATGTCTTATTATTATTATATCCTTTCATTCCTAGGGGAACGAAGGGCTTCAGCTACGCGTCCTCATACCCTTCGGTTTTCTGCCAACTTCCCGCCCCACTTCAAGTCTGCCCACATGCTTTCATCTCCTCCTCACATGACCTCCTCCAAGTCACCCTTGGTCGACCAACTCCCCGCTTCCCTTTCGGGTTTTACTCAATCAATGGCTTGTCTAGTGATGTCACTTCATGGCCGGTCAATCCATCTCCATTTCTTTCTACCTATTTGTTTCACAATCGGTTCATGGTTCGTTTGCTCTCAGAGATCTCTGTTGCTGATCTTCTCTGGCCGGCCATCCGATCTTGTGTACTGAGCGAAGACAACTGTTAATGGAGGTCTGTAGTTTGTTTGACCTGCTTTTTATGACGCGCCAAGTCTCTGATCCGTATAGTAAGTAGCACTGACAGAGTTGAAAATCAGAGTCTTATTTTTGATGCTGAGTGCTGTTGACGTCCACCCAGTCTTAAGAGTAATGAAAGCTTGTCTTGTTTTTCCGATTCTGGCTTTGATATCCTCATCAGTTCCAACTGTAGGCAAAACGATGCTTTCCAGGTAAGTACGTAAGTGAAGGAGGTTGTTTCTTTCAGGTTCCTCCCATCTATGCTGGCTGATTGTTGTCTGTTGATGTTATTGCTGTTGGTGTTGGCCAGGAATCTCCATCACCTCTGTTTTATCTATGTTCACCTGAAGTCCTATCTTCTTCTGCCAGCTTGTTGCTTCTCACTTGCATATCATCTAGTTTGTGAGAAATCAGACATATATCATTGGCGAAGTCCAGACCCTCCAAGTTTGTCTTTGTGTGAGTCCATTTTATGCCTGTTCCCTCGTTGGTTGCCGTTGTCTGTCGCATTATCCAATCTACAGCAATCAGGAAGATCGTTGGCGATAGAAGACAACCTTCCCTCATTTCCGTTCTCACTTCGAAGGCTTCCGCAAGCTTCCCGTTGTGAATTACTTGGCATGCAGCACTGTCGTACAACTAACTGTTGGATGAGATGTATAACTGTCAATGGCACCCCGTAGTAGCGAAGTAGTTTCCAAATGACCTCTCGATCGACGCTGTCGAAGGCCTTTTCAAAGTCAATGAAGTTGAGTAAGGTGGAGAGGTGACTGCCATTCCAAGCTTTGTTCAATGATGATCTGTTCAGGTCTATTTATGCAATTATAGTTCAATAATGACTGGCGATTTGCCACAAGATAAGACTACATCAATGTGTGAGATATTTGATAGACTTGTGATTACGTCACGTTTCTGGTTTCGCTGTTATTCGAAAACGTGAAACATAAAACTTGCTTGTGGATGAACAGTCATGGTTCACTATACTCATACTTGAAAGGTTTTATAGTAGCTAATTTTTCGGATACCACTTCAGTAATGAATTCGACATGTAGACTCTTGTAGTGTTATGAGGGAAAATAATGTCAATGTGCCAATATTCATATTCTGTGAAACATGAGTAGGCGTCTCAAGTGATGACATCCATATGTCTTCATCCAATGATAATTATCGTGATACGATATGCAGATATATCCGATTGATGAGTCATCTCAGAGACCTTTACTATAAAAGGCCTCACAAACAGTTCCTCGTGAATAGAAAACATCGATGTTAGAGACTCATCATAAGAAAAGCATAACTTACATGTAATTGAAGTCCTTCGGATCACCAATAATTATATGAGTTACAGACGTCAATAGTACTTGTGAGCATATTTATCAATCTCATTCTTTAAACTTTGATCAAGAGATTTATTTGTTCATAGTCAGTTAAAATCTCTTACCAATAATACTGAGTTAGTTTAACCTTGATCGAAATACTGTTATATCTTCAAAAATCTCAAATAATATTTAAAAATACCGATATTGTTAGATAAAGATTATTTATTGAGTTGAGATATTCAATGTCAAATGAATTACACTATATGTAGTATTAAATAGTATGCGAAGCTACCGCAAAATCACAGAAAATTCGTCTACCATTCCATGATTTGTTGATTGATGTCTAGTAGTCTGGAGTCCCTTTTATTTTCCATTAAAGAAAAAATTTAGTTGATCAAAGCCCACTACAATACAGTATTATTCACTGATAACAATTTGAGCATAGTTTACTGCTCATAGCCAGATTAAGGCATTTAAATATCTTGTAAACTTCGTTTGCTGTTTCGTATCTATTGGTTTTATTGGTAATAATATTTTCCAAGTCACTCGTCTTCAATTTTTGTCATTCATGTTGCACGTGTTACGTAAAGATTTGTTGAAGAAGGATTCGATGATAGGAATCTCCCTCCACATAACTACTGTATGCTTCCACGTTGTTGTAATTTTTAAGAATGCTGTGATTAACTCAAAAGTATTAATCTTCTTGTGGTTAATCATTCTTCCCTTAGCTAAAATCGTGCCCTCTAACAATCTGACTATCCCAGCTTCACTGGTCCGATCCATGTTGATGTAGATGGAGTTGCACTATACCACAGTGATCAACTTATATTCTTATATCAGTGATACATGTAAATCCAACTGAAATGTATAATCATCTTTGAGAAAAAAGGCAAATATCCTCAAACAAAGTGATAATAAATTCAAACAACGTACACTCAGGCCAACAGTAACATAGTATAACTCGGTGGAAGACTTCGAATAAGAAATACTCCCGCGTGAGAAAAAGAAACGCCAAATCAAGAGGTCTTGAAACTTAAACATTTGGAAGAAACAAAAACTCAGACACACAGATATTCCTGCAAACTGCGTGTTATTGTTCATAGAATGACTATTATTATGGCTAATAGCATGTGCTCCGAGAAACAAATAGGCACTCAGGTGGACGTCTCGAATTCTCTCCGCTCTTTGTTATCCATTAGATCCCATGATTTCTCATGTGCTCTTCTTCCCTATTCACTATGGTATGCCAATATGAGGTGCAGAAGTCAGAGCGTCGAGGTTTGATCCCATTTTAATGACCTGGAGAGTGACGTCGACTGATCATATACTCACAATATGTATAATATGTCACCTTTCTATAATGCATATTTGTTCGGCGATAATGTATTACCTTTTTATGCTGCAAAGACTTTTGTTCTTATTCTTTTTATGCCAATTGATCTCAAGTATTAAGTGAAAGATGTCTGTCGGTACAGGTAAGTGGGTTGTTGCTAAATTCTCTAAGTCATTTATTGCTCAGATATTTTCTCAAAATGTATACGACAAGCATAATTATATCTAAAAAGTGTGGATGATATTTTTGTTGTCTGTAAAGGTAAATCAAAAGGGGAAAACTCATTAGTAAAAATAATCTCATGCCATCTGAATCTTAACTTCATAACAAAGCACAAGGATTGTAAGACGAGGAATTCGTGGATGTTTCACTTGCGGAAAGGACTGAAACCACCAGAAAAGGTCTAAATTTATAAGAGTATTCATTGCTCGGACAGCGTATTCATTTTAAAAGCTTTGTCCTAACCCTGCATGCGAAGGAGAGTGTAACATTTTTCCCGACAGTTTAATTGAGCAAGATCTCTGAAGGATATTTTTATCTATAGTGCATACCGTGATAAGTTTATCCTAAACAACTCTAAAGAAATAAGCCCTATTCAAGCTTTCCAAACAGTTTTAAACAAAGCAGTCTATCTCACTTTGCTGTTTAAAGGAGATGACTTTGAATATGCACGCAAATGATGATTCAGTTAAGCTATGAGGAGAATGTATTATGCTGGAAAAGCCCTATTAATAAACACCGTTGAAAGGGTAATTCGACGAAATACTTTTCATCAATCACCCACACGTCTAACCGTGAATATCCGTTTGAGCGTGCACCAGTATAAAAATAACATAAGCTAAACGGAAGCGTTATGAAAATGTGGAGTATTTGGTAAAGTAGGTGAAAGCAGCTGTGGTCGGAGTGTCAAAATGTTCAATAGCAAAACATTCTGTAGAGTACGCACGGGATAGTGAAGACTTTCACTCATTCACTGTTGTCAAGTGACAAAAAACATGATTCTCGGAATTTCAGTAGTATCCATTTTGGTGATAAGTCTTAAATGTTATCACTGATAATATTCTATTCCATTTGCTTCTATTAGTTATGATTTATTTAAAACTGTCCTTTATCAGCACCGTCATCTTAACTCCTTTCAACATTATCACTTTCACCATTATTATAAGCAGCAGTATTTTTCAGTTTGCAATTGTTCATATATCCAAATTCCTTCTCTGACAGCTAATTGTTCATTGAAGTGATGTAATTTGACTTTAATGTAATAAAACCTAAATTTTGGTTTCTAATACTCCCTTCCCCTCGAAATCGGCCTGTGACATTCAGTGTAGTTAATTTACTTATTAGTTTTACATTTTCCAATGTGATAATGATTATATGTGTATATATGTATACGTATATATACATATACGTCTATGTGCTATATTCAGCTGAAAAGTTCTAACGAAATATCGAAAAAAATATATTAAAATCTGACTTGTCCTCTTTTTTCTTGATTGAATTTCACCTACTTTTGAGTAGGTTACTCCTATCAGGATAGATGCAATTCCCGATGCAATTCTGTATTTTAAGAACAGTAGCATACAGAGAATCACAATCAAGACTCTCAAGAATAAGTTCAAAGCGGCTTTATTGAATTTCAAAGGGTGAAAGGGAAAAAACATTGATTTCTTTGTCAGATTGTAGCGGTATGTCTTACTATACTTTTATATGCAGGAAGAATGTTTCAATCGGATCTATCTCCATCGATCCACACCCATCACACGTCATGAGTGGAAAGTCCTACTAATTAAATTCGTTTACTATTAAATACAGCGGACGTTTCCACATATACCAAGACGTTGTGCAACCATTTTTAGTTAATAAACACTCATTAGATTCTACATTACAAAGCCATGGTTATCAGTTTATTGGTCAAATTGGTTATCTAGGGTGAGATGAATTCGATCACAGAATACTGGCCAGATTTCCAGTATCCTCTACGCAGGAGGGTCCTGCTTGTTATGTTTCACTAGTTTTATGTTAGTTAATGCTCCCATGAATCATTTTTATGCTAACATAGTCACTATTTGCCCAATAATATTAGCTGCAGAAGCTAGGCAACATTGATGTTGTGGCGTTTTTGTTCTTAGGTGACCGTTTCTTCAATTCTTGTTCATTCAACAAAAATTTCGACGCAAATAAAATTTATTTTTAAGTGGGCAACTAGCTACACGGCATTACGCTGAAATATGTGATCAGCCAATTGATCAGTATTTAATCCAGGTGTGCAGAATGACAAGAACGCTTCCTGGATAAGCAATTACTTGGTGGGTGATCGTGAGTGGCACATTTCGTTCGCACTAAATTCAAAATTTCTGTTTCAACTTGAATTCAAAACTGTAGATATAGCTTAGGAGGATTTTGAGTTATTAGCAGTAAACCACGGTTTGAAAACGCATTTCTACGCAGGTGTTATCTAATCTCTGTGAAAAAGTCTCTTTAAAGTAGATAAATGCCACATTCAATCTCACTCTGTCACTAGATCCTGAGAGATTAGAAATCAAGCGGATCATTATTCCACTTCATGTGAGTCTAGTGGAAACTATGCTCACTGACTAATTTGGGCATAGTCAGTAGATGAATCGTCGTAGTTATCATCATTAAATTTCGATTATTTTTAAGTTCTGCAGTTCCATGAGTTCATCACCTTTGATCACTACATGGTTTAAAGTAAAATATTTATTGACTCCTGATTTAAAGTCCCTACTGAATATGCTCATAATTAGAATGACTTTGATGTCAACTAAAACCTTTGATCGCATTTATTGAAAAATTTTATAAAGAACATTAAAAAGCTATAAATCAAAGTATAAAGAATGAGACAGATTTATTCACACACACTTTGAACATTCCTCATAGTGAATAGTGTAACGTTTCAAGTAAGATGACTTTATAATAATAATAATTTGCTTTATTCCAAAAACAGTACTTATAATACAGAATGAAATTCTCAGCATTTGTCACGTCGGAGGTGAGCGATTCCATTCTTATTGTTTGTCATTACTGTACTTTACCTTATTCAAAACATTTAAAGCTGCATTTCGTGTGAAACATCATGGTTTCAAATCTCATGATTTCATGGTTTATTTGGTTTGATACTTGATATCATTATTTAGCGGGGATTCCAATTTCATTAAAGTAGTGCATTGGAGGAACATTCTTCTTTGCCTATTTCTAATATGTTTTTAATGTCATTTATTTGTATACAATTTACTACATCAAATTCAAACAAACTGGAACATGAACTTAGATTCTAAATATCTTATACGTAACAATATGACTTAAAATGTCCATATGAATAGAGTTTTATCATCTTTTTTTAATGGCTTATTAAGATTCTAAAATAAGGTTACACTTTTGAGTAAAGTTCAGTGAAATCCTGGTTAAGGTGAATAATGAGGTTTCAATGGGAAACTAAGGGTTTCCATGTTTTCTGTTTATAAACTGACAGATACTCAGGAATAAATTCTTGAATGTTATGTATTCGCTTGCCATTCCGTATTTATTATCGACGTCTGTGTCTCAAAGTATATGCACTTTTTATACATACATCATTGTTTTATGACATCAATTACTTCTTCAGGCAGTCTCCCATCATAAAATATTCATGCTGCACAATTGAACATCAGGATCCTTTGATATTTTCTGCAGGATCGTCATATCGTGGTCAGCTTTTAATGGAAACTTTATCAA